ATATATATATGGCAAAAGCTAACAATAGCTAGGCAGCTATAATAAATAGTAATATAGGTGGCATGGAGGCCGTCAGATCACCATGTGGTTCATAATTCATATAACTATATAAATTTTAATATATTTTCTAGAAATTGGATCATAATGAAATTTTAGATGTGTATATTAAAAAATAGGATGCATAATTAAAAAATTTATAAAAAATATTTTCAAAAATATAAAATGAATGAAATACCCCTGAAAAATGAAGGGGGTAATTTGGTCATTTTAAATTATTGAAAATAATTTTTTTATATTTTATATGGTATGTAATACTGTTAGGTTTATACACCCAAAATTTCATCTTAATCAGATTTATACAAAAAAAAGAAAATTAAAATTCATATGATGATATGCATTCTGAATCATATGATGAAGATCTGACGGTTGGGATTCTCCCTCTCTCTATGCCTCTCTCTGTCTCTCTCTCTTTCTCTCTCTCTATATATATATATATAATTACCTTGCTTAACTTTACCTAATCCAACTGCCTTTAAAATAATTGAATGTGATGCTTCTGACATAGGATTAGGCGGAATATTAAAACAATCTATGGATTCCAAAGAACAACTCATTCGTTTTACCTCGAAAGCATGGAATCCCACACAAAAGAATTATTCTACTGTCAAAAAAGAATTACTTGCTATTATTCATTGTGTTACCAAATTTCAAAGTGATATTCTTAATCAACACATTTTCTTATTCGAACTAATTGCAAAGCAGACAAGGATATCCTGCAAAAGGATGTTTAAAATCTCGTTTCCAAACAAATCTTTGCCCGTTGGCAAGCCATTTTATCTGCTTTTGATTTCTCCATTGAACATCTTCACAGTGCTTCTAACTCTTTACCTGATTTTCTTACCCGTGAATTTTTGCAGGGGGGCCGTACATTACCACCTCTTCCACCTGAAGAGCCACTCCTTTATGGATTACAACTTTTTCATATGAATATGAATACTAATACATCTCATGCTTCTCACAAATCGAAACAAAAAACCTCAATGGACTTAGTTCCTTTTTCATCTGAGCCTCCTATGCTCAGCCCACCCTTTTTACTAATACAACCAATGTCTCTACTCAGATCCACCAATGTACCAGAATATTTTATTCAAAGTCCAAAACATAATACACCAAGTCCTGCTTTATCTCCAGCCCAAACCCCAAATAAGCCAACCTCCTCAGTGCCTAAATCTACCTATATAGATAATGCTTTCCTAGCCGATATTCCCATCGATGACAAACACATTCACATTGACCCACATAAATTAGCTCCCCTTTACCTTCAAAACCATTTAAACCAATCAATGGTATCAAAACCCGTGAATGGTATGAATCCGTTTTAATGGAAACATGATCAGTTTCCATCAGTGTTTAAAAAAACGCCGAGTCGAACCGGACTCGCCCGGTTCGACTCGGGAAAAGCCATGGAAGAATCGAATCGACGAAAAAAACGAGAATCGTCCGGTTCTAGTACAGTGATTTGCCGATTCACTGTACGGAATCGGCGAGTCCGTACAGTGAATCGCCGAGTCCCGTACGAAACTTTTTTTTTTTTATATAATCCATGATAGATTTTTTTGTAATACTTGATCGATTTTTTTGTAATCCATGATCGAATTGTTTTTTGTTTTTTTTTGTAATCCATGATCAAATTTTTTGTTTTTTTTTTGTTTTTGTAACCCATGATAGAATTTTTTGTAATCCATGATCAAATTTTTTGTAATCCATGATCGAAATGTTTGTTTTTTTTTCTTATAATCCATGATCGAATTTTTTGTTTTTTTTTTTTTTATAACCCATGATAGAATTTTTTGTAATCCATGATCGAATGTTTTGTAATACATGATCGAATTGTTTGCTTTTTTTTTTGTAATCCATGATCGAATTTTTTGTTTTTTGTTTTTTTTGTAACCCATGATAGAGTTTTTTGTAATCCATGATTGAATTTTTTGTAATCCATGATCGAATTGTTTTTTTCTTTTTTTGTAATCCACGATTGAATTTTTTGTTTGTTTTTTTTTGTAATCCATGATCGAATTTTATGTAATCCATGATCGAATTTTTTGTAATCCATGATTAAATTTTTTGAAAATTTGTGATTTGTTTTTTTAATCCATGATCGAATTTTTTTTTGCAAACCATGATAGAATTTTTTGAAACTTTGTGATTTTTTTTTTTTAATCCATGATCGAATTTTTTTTCTTAATCCATGATAGAATTTTTTGAAAATTTGTGATTTTTTTTTTTAATCTATGATCGATTTTTTTGAAAATTTGTTATTATTATTTTTTAATCCATATTATTCAAAGAGAAAATGAGAGAGATGATGATTCTGAGGCCACCCTATCCCAGCCATATTATTCACATATCGAGTCCCAACAGCAACAGTGCAGGTGAGCATGAAGGATGGACAATCTTCGGGGATTTTAGATTGGGAACACAACAAAACACTAACACTCAGGGATTTGGGAATAGTCAGACGCCTGCTAATATCAATGATTCGTTTTTAGATCGAATCAATGAATTGTTAAACAAATTCAATCAATGGCACCAATGTGACCAAGAAGAACAATAATGTCGTCTATCATTTTATTTTTAGATCATATGTTACTAATTTTATGCTTTATTGTAGTCCATGTATGTTGATATACTTATTCCAAGATAATTCTATATTTATCCTTTTGTGTGATGTGAATTAAATGCTGAATGGCGGTTCACGCAGGGAAAAACATATCAATATTCGCATATTCATTCAAAAACATAAAAATTCTTAATGGAGTGCCCTCATTTCTTATTGAATTCCTAAAAAAGAATATTTATAATGAATTTTAATAATTTTTACGGATTTTTTTTAAGCTTTATTCTGATCGATTCACCCGATTCCCGATCCAGATCGCTGATTCGCCGATCCGAATCGGTTTTTTGGAAGCTCGATCCGGGTCATCAATCCGTTTTTTAAACCATTGGTTTCCATTATTCATTTCTTTCAAGGAAATACAAACCTGTTTGCTTATTCTAATCTACAGATCAAAAAATTACTTACTTATGAGGATTGGGGTAATAACCCCATGCAAGGAAAAAAACTATTAAATATTGAATACCAATACAAATACTTTCGATATGCTGAATATATTGAAGCCTGGCATAAAGTCTTTTTATACCAAAATCTTAATAATACTCATTCCTGGTACATACAGTTCAAAATGCCGATACTTGAAAGGTTTCCTAGTTGGTTCCGTCATTGGTTCCTTATCTGGGGATCTTCTACCCAAATACTACCAGACAACTTCCAAGCCTTCCAAACTAAATTTGCTGAACATAATACTTGTATAGATTTGGTAGACTACCATCTTTATTTCATATCCATATATCAAATACCTTGGATCTGCAAATGGGAGTATGCTACTTTTGAAAATAATTCGAATAATTATACATACATTCCCTGTCTTGGGAAAATAATTAAAATCAAATGGTGGGAAATATTTAGCACAGACCCACGTACTTATCCTCTCAAAAGGATTCCTCCATCCTCTGAGATATATAATACTTCTGCCTATAATACTGTACCCAATACTGTTGACCTACATACTTTCTCTTCTTATATTAAGCAAATGAAACAAGCCTATCCTCATGCTACTCTTGTTGAATTAGAACAACAACTCTTTGGAATTTTTGCTGAACCTTCAACACTACTTACCACATCAGAAGAAACAGTTCAGTCTGGTAATCCTCTCCTTAAAGATTTTAGCCAAAAACCCGAAGGCTGAACCAAAGACCCTGCTCATCGGAAGACCCAGCTCATCAGAAGTCATCGGAAGACCCGGCTCATCAGAAGACAAGACCTCAGCTTTATCTTTACTTTTGATATGACTAAAAGCAGATTCCTTTTAAATTGACAAGACCCCAACTACAGTAAATATTCCCTTGCATAGTAACTACTTACTCCAACGATCGCCACGTAGCAAGAAAAGACCCCAACTACAGTGTCAAAGATTCCGTTTTGATTTGACTAAATATTTGTCACATCAATACCTTCATCAATCCTTCGTCGACAATGAGAAACAACCACGTTCCCGACACGTCGCAGACATTTCTGCGTCACGACAACAGCCCTTATCCATAAAGCATCTTTACATCACATCACCGACGTGTCCTCACTCCATTTCCTTCGGCCATCACCGTCAGCCAGCTCACCTGAAGATAAGGATGAATCACATACGCATCCCAACGGTCCACCTGTTGCACATCTATGGTCCCTCTGCATCTATAAATACCACCTCCTACAACGCAGAAAGCAGGTCAAGTTTCAAGGACACCATACGAGAAGACCTTCTTCATCACATCCTTGAGTCATCTCTTGCTCATCTCTTTCTCTTTCTCCTTTCTTTACTACTGTAAATTCTCATACAGTAGGTTTGCTTTCATAACAGTCCTGTATAAGCGACATACATTTGGTAACCTCTATTACTCTATAATTTTAAATGTGTGATTGTAATATCCCTTCTCTTCCCTCTTACTGTCCTTCTGAATGGAGTTTCTTCTCCAGTTATTGTATTTGTAAACAGTGAGTTGCAATAGTCTATTAAGTTTTTATATGATCATTTTGTTTATTCTTCATGCAATTTAAAAGAGTATTCAGTCTTAAAATTAGGAATTCAACGCATACGTCGTGGATTGTCGTAGATATTTCTTTAATATCTGCTGTCTTTCTAATCGTTTTATTCTTTTATTATATAGGAATCTTACAACAATTAATCAAAATTATAATTATACTCTATTCATGTTCCTAAGATAGAGTTTTAAATAGATTTGTAATTATACTCTGTTCATGATAGTTGTGTAATTTTACTCTGTTCATAGAGTGTTAAATAATCTACATAGTCGAAAACTGGTTGATCTTGGCGCGTTATGGTATCAGAGCCATACCAGTTCACACGTGTTTACTGTTCATAGTTGGTAGATGATCATTAGTCTGACATACAACAACTTCACCTTAGGAAATCTAAGAAAATTGTCCATTTAAGAAAGTTGGTCCGAGAGTTGGGGTTAGAGACGCTCAGACACCCAGTCTAAAGACCGTTAAGGCCATAAGAGCCGTTGAGGTCGAAACAGACATAAGAGGTAGTCAAAGAGGACTGTCCAGATAACACTTATCTGCAACCTACAAATGGAAAATTTTATTAGAAATCTCAAATAAAGCTGTTAGTCAAACTAGTAATACTCTACGAATTAAGAACAAAGATGATAGTGCCTTGATCAATATTATGTCCTAAAAATCTTATTTTCGTTTGAAATAAATTGATCTTTTTAGTAGAAACAATTGATCGAGCATGTTTCGTGGTATTAATAAAAATATTCAGATGTTTAAAATGTTGATCTATTGAATCAGAGAATATTAATACATCATCAATGTAGACTATCATAAATTTAGGATACGTCATTCAATATTTTTTGAAATTTAGATGGAGCATTTTTAAGACAAAAAAGCATGACATTCCATTCAAATTGGCCAAATGGTACATTAAATGCTGTTTTGTATTTATCTTATTCCTTAATTTGTATTTGCCAAAACCCTGACTTCATATCAAATTTAGAAAAGATGACTGCATTTACAAGTCTGTCTAATAAATCTTTTTTATTAGGAATTGGATATCTAATCCATTATAGAACTTTATTAAGAGGTTTATAAATAATAACTAAACGAAGAACTCCTCTTTATTTTTCAGCATTTTCATTTATAAAAAGCTGAACAACTCCAAGGATATTGACTAGGTCTTATGAGTTTTTTCTGTAATAGATCCTCTATTTCTGTTTTACATGTTTGTAATAATTCAGTATTCATTTGAATTGGTCTAGCCTTTGTTGGTATTTTCCTTTCATCAAAATCAGGCTCATAGGGTAAACTAATAATATGTTGCTTCCTATTTCAAAATGCATTGGGTAAATCATTACATATTTCTTTTTCTATTAATGTTTTGAGGGACTGTATTTTTTGTATTACTTCAGAGGTTTGTAATTTTTCACATATTATTTTATATTTGATTTCTGTTTGTAAAGAACATAGAAAATGTTCTTTTTGTTTCATAATTGTTTTGACAATATTGATCTCTTTGATTTTAGGTTTATCTAAGAATTCAAATTGGATTGGAGTACCATGTATATGAGTTTCTATCCCTGTATGAGTAATTGTCATGGGATAAAGTAAAGTCATAAAAGGTATACCAAGGATAACAGCTTGACTTAATCCTTTAACCATGATAAAAGGGGTTGGAAAACAATGTCTATTATTGCAGTTCATGGCATTTGATAATTTATATT